ATTATCATAGAAGTTCAATACTCCATTTTCGTATAGGTATCATTTGTGTGCTTTATTTTCAGTTTCTTCATATGTGGGTTTCTTAAAAATGTTGTATATTATGATAGGTACTGAATTTTGACTGCACACTGTGACAAAAATTGATGGTGTTCAAGTAAAAACTAAGTGTCATTCTCGTTCACCAGAATTAGTGCTATGCTATTTTGTTAAATTGACTAGGTACATAATATTATGTGAATTAAAATATTAAATTGGAAGTTATGATACCAAGTACAATACACATACATACACACAAATTATTTACTAAAACACGAAGTACAAGGGATTCACCTAGCATTCTTACCCTCCATTTTTGATTTTAATGGAGTTCTAATTTTTGGAAATTTTAAGAACCTATAACTATTGAGTATCATATTTTTAATTATTTGGATTTGTATAACATTTAAGTAGTGTTCTGTAGCGATACAATTTACTTTTTTCAAATGATAACCAACCCTTTGTTAATGTACATTGTTAAGCATATAAAAATATAATTTTTTTGAAAATGTTTATGGATCTAAATCAAAATTCGTTGTAGTGTGCTCTGTTTTATTCAAATGTGTAATATTCTAAGGATAGTTTATAGTTCTTAAAAATTATATTACAAAAATATAAAATAGATGTAATATTAGATCTATTATTTGTTATGCTTAGACAATTTTTAAAAATTATAATAGATTACTAATCATTATTAAATTTTTTAAATAATCATAGCTTATTTACAAAATCCATTATTGGTACATAGGTAACTCAAAAAGTACTACAACATTTTTGAAAAATTCGTCCGATAAGCAATTTACTAGACAAATTAGTGACTCTCATTTGAAAAAAAGTAGATACTAAAAATTATACCTCCTTAAATAGTATAAAAAATTTTAGTATTTGAAAATATTATGGTCTTTTAGTATAATTAAAAATTCTAAAAATCAGAATTAGAGTATAATTCAGTATTGAAGTAAAACTCGATGAATTGGTGATCACCGATCATCTTGTATAATGAACTTATGTCTCATAATATCAAATATCTTGGAAAATGTATAGAGGTAGGTACTATATTTATTTTATTTTATTCAAGACCAAACAGGACTTGTGGTGGTCGCTGCCATTTATCGTCGTAGAAACTCATTATGAATGTAATCACATTATGTCGTTTAATTACGGTGGTAATTATTTTACTAATACTTAAAATGAAACCTTTTCTATAGTAGCTGACAAATATTGTAGTCGAACGAGTATCTTACTGTGTTACTCGCATTTATTTTATGAATGACATTGTGTGTAGCTTTAAAAATATATATTATTTCATACCTATAAATTTCACAAAATCTGTAGAAGATTAATAACAAGAAACACACAATCAAAGTTATACGCTTCTGTAAACAACGTAAGTAATAATACAGTTAAAGGTTCCAACATAAATATGGAGAAAGTTACATGCTATTACATATTTTAATTTGTAGTAAACCCTATTTAATAACTAGTTAGTTCAAACTAAATAATTAGTATGATTAACTGCATCAGCTACTTAATCTAAGATTGTATAGTATAAATAATATAATTTATTCCATAGACTTTTACCAGACTGTATATTGTGCACTATACCTACTCTACTCTCATAAAAAAACATTCACTAACTAAAAATATGAATACATATTTAAATATTGGTAGTATTCATTTTTTATTTGAGTTTAAACGTTTAGATTTAATTATATTAAATACATATTATAACGTACATTTATTTTTTGTTCTCAAATGAGTATATTATATCAAACTTATTATTACCGTTCGTTTGACTCGGAGGAATATAGTTGACAAATGACAATATTATGTCAAAAGTTATAATATTTAAAATCTCAATAAGTCATTAGAACTATACACATCTTACATAGTTACTATATAGTTGTAAAACATTGTTCATCTACCAAAAATACAATTTATTATAGGCACTGATAAATTTTTATTGAAATAAAATATATTTTAGATGATAAAAATGATTTATCACACGGTGGATCTTTTGTTATCTTGTTTCCAGTTAACACAAACACGTGCTAATTATTATTCAAGGACATTAGGGCGATGTGCATTGTAAAAATAAATATAAAAAAACTCACGAGCATGGTAGGTACTTTATATATAGATGCGTTGGTATTATGGTTCGTTAAATTTCGTCTTTTAAAATTTACAACGATATTAATATAACTAACTCGGGTGTATTATGTATAATGTATATAATATACTTGACCGGAATTAACCATGACCCAAGTTTGACCGGTTTTGTAAGCTTGCAAAATGAATATACATATAGGTACATATATATGTATATTATATTATAAAACAAAATTCTCCTCCTTCTTCATAACTATGATTTGTTTTCAGTATTACGTTCATGATTATAACAGACTGATCAATATTGATATTTATCATTTAATAACACGAGTCAGTAAACTTCAGTTATAATAACACGCCGCTGTGTTTTGCTGATTATATCATAGAATAATACAGATATAATTATTCTCAAATATTTTATATTTCTCTATATATCTACTTATAACACTAAGTATTTCTTTTATTGTTGATTAGACACGATAGATAATATTGTATTACATCAAAAGTTGTAGTTGATAAGTAAAGTATCACACATTTTACTTTTCTTCATAATTTTTTCTCCGAGTATATGTACTATATTATAATATAGGTACCACTAGATCGGTACCATGGCCAGATTTAATTGGGTTATCACTAATCATAGAACATAAACGAAAACAATATCCTTGTATTATTTTTGGCATTTTACTTTAGTAAATACATTGTTAGACGATTTATAATTATTAAGCAATAATGGCGTAAAATGTACTTAAACCTTAGTAAATAAAAGTATAAACAGCTTATATTGCTAAGTAATAACATAAAAGTAACTTTTGTGGGTTGGTGTGTCGCGGTCATACGATTTCCGTACGCTCAACTGCGGAAACGCTCTGAGTGTACGTATCAGCCGGTGTTGCTAGCTCCCGGATGGGTGACCACCCGGAATGTTTAGCAACAAATCCTTGCCACACATACGACCTTGTTTCAACCAATCGTTTCTCCCCCTACACATAAAACAGGCTCTAGTTGTCGGGCTTAAGCTCAATGAAAAAAAAAAGGTAACTTTTCTTCGTGTGATAAGCGAATAATACTTTTAAATTATTATTTCATTGCACTTCTCGTCAAAAAAACTATAAAGGTGGATTTGTTTTATATTAAATCAAACAGACTAACAAATAATAAAGGTATAATAAAATTAAAAATATAAAACTACACTGGCCACTCCTTCCCCCAAGAAGTTTAATCTATAACAATTAAGAACAATTGTAAATATAATAGGTAATAACTTTTAACCTTTACTCGGCTATTTTTATTTAATTTATGAAAAGAGTACTTTTTGGTTCTGGTAATATAACTATAATATTATAATCGTCGTATATAAATACATTATTTTAATATCACAAAAATGTTAACTATTGTTGGTGTGGGAGGGGTGAAGTAGATGAAATCTAAAAATGCTTTAAAAAAACTTAGTCTTATAATTCTGAGATGCCATTAGTGAACAGCTTCCTCCACAAGTTATACACTTGAACGTTTTATTTTTACCAAGCATAAAATTTACTTATTATTCTAAGTAACAGATATCTTTATAAATAAAAAATAAACTTATAATACTTATTATTAAATATTTCATATTTACCGTTTAATATTATGTTTAATATATTAGTGAAAACATTATTAATAGAACAAAATATGTTTTGAGTACGATATACAAGTCATATAGATTACATAGGTATGTATAAATATAATATTGATCCTTTAGGTACAATATTACAACAAAGCAAAACTATTAGAATATGTTTAAACGTAGAATTGTATGCTAAAAGACTACCTATACAAAGTTCGAAGTTCAACCCATGCAATATATTTATAATAGTTTCGATTATGTAGGTATGCAGGTATTAAAAAATATGTATATCCAGCACAGAAGAAATTATATAAATATGCCTTGGTGTGGTGCAGTGCGTGCACTGAACTGCGGAAAAAAATTTGGGATTGTTGCTTGAGATTTGATTGAATTTGAAGGGGGCTAAAATCTTCCCGCACAAAAGCAGTAAATTAATAACGTATATTTGGAATGAGGTGGCTTTGAATATTTTTATGTGGGCGTTAAGCTTTTCAAGCACCCCCAATCAAAGCCTATGCAGTGTAAAACATTATTATGACACTAAAATAATACTTTATACTTCCTTTGATCAAATAACTTTCTAGATCCAAGTTTTTACTCTCCAATAAATTAATAATTATAAAGTGGTAGGTTATTGTAAAACTAAATCAAAAATTGCAAAAAAAAATTTGTAAAAATTAGATATTGTATTAAATCATACGATATATTTGTATAATTTTCTTTGTCTTTAGTTAATGTCTTATGTGTCCTACCTACCATACTTTTTGTTATTTATTGATTTTTAGATATTATGTTAGGTACATTTCTAACTATTGTCATCAATTTAAATTAAATATACCTAACAATTAATCTTTATACTATAAATTGTACCTATCCTGTAACCCCAAATTTAAGTATCATAACATTCAATTATTTTAAGTGCCCTCTAATATTAACTATACCTTCTTCAAGAAAGCTATGCTTAAAGGAGAGGTAGGTAGGTAAAAGTAGATAAAGAAAAAATTATTTATACATTATATTAATGAAAATAAAAATAATAAAAAATCTGTATTGACGAGTATGCAAAAGGTTTGAGGGTCGTGCAACCGACACAACCTGCGTACAATATTTTTGTATTCGCTGACGCCCACTTAACCTAAACTTTCAATAAACTTTCAATAAACTGAACCAACCTAAACTTCAGCCGTTTATGAACTTGAAAAAATATAAACAATTTTGCTTTATTAAACCCAAATTTGTTTTCGTACAGGTAAAGTTTTGGGCGGTGACACTGTGGTGCCCGTCGACCAGGATTCGGTGAACCGGTGTTGTACCAGAAAAGTGTTGTACAAACGCCTACCAATCCTCCAATGGCTGCCCAAGTACACGGTCGGCGAACATGGTATATCCGACCTCGTGGCAGGTATCACGGTCGGGCTGACCGTTATACCACAGGCCATAGCGTTCGCCAACGTAGCCGGATTACCTCCACAAGTAAGTCGGTCGCGTCCACGAATCTTTGCGAATCGTGTAAAGAAAAGTCATTCGTACTATATAATATTATTATCATGTTAGTTTTTTATATGTTTATATATATATATAACATTTATACATATTTATATATCTGCCTCTCCACACTCTAACATGCACGCAACAGGTAGTGCGTGTGGCGGTTCGAAGACAACTGCATATAATATGGACTAGGTATATCGGAAATGACTATGATATGGACGATTACCACGTATCGTCGTAATTTGTATTATTATAATATATTATGATATTTTTTTTTACATAATATTATTATTATTACCGTCCAGACTCGTATGACTTCCTACATAATAAATTCTTTCCAACATAAAATAAACTGTTTTTTGCGAGGTTATGCACACTGTAGGTCTTTAATTATTCTTCTTCCTTCTTAGTTATTGCCTACACACGCAGACATCCGGTACGTTCAAAGGCCATTTCCAGAAAATTACAAAAACATAAAAAAATTACCCCTAATTATTTACATTTACATACAGGGGTAATTTATATGACAACTTTTAAATTACATTTTTTGATATCATATTATTTTAAAGATCTTTTTGGAAAGTAATCTTTCCAATAAGTGTTATATTTTATGTAGTTTACCATAGTGCAAATTCACTCTAATTTAATAGGGTAGTTATATGTTATATTTTGCACAAATATACCTAATAGTTTACATTTCCTAATTCTAAAAAGAGGGATTGGTCCAACAAACTTCGACATAATTTTATTTTGTTGATTTTATGTGAATACACAATTTGAACAATGATAGTGAGTATTTCAATATATAATTGGTACCTTCTATGTTTAAGATAATAATTAATAATTGTAATAGACAACTATTATAATAACTATTATAATCTTTTATAATTATAATTTATTATTATGATTGCGTATTTATGTATTATGTATCCCGCCAAACATAATATATAAAACTCTTATGGAGAGGCCAAAATATTATTAAACGATTTGTGATTACCTATAAGGTACTTGGGTACTTATAAGTTATATAATATACAAGTCTAACTATATGTTATAGAAACTGCAGATAATTTATGATGTACTGTATTTTACTTGATATTTCATCCTAAATGGCGCTTAATCACTAATATTTGTAACCATATATCAATGATGACAGTATACAATTTAGTATTTCAGCTAATAAAGTTTATCTCCTCCACGAACAAGTGTAATATACTGAGAATACAATAGAACATAACTTTTTTGAAAATGTTGAAATAAATCATAGTTTTGATTTTTTTTCGGAAAACTTAAATTTGTATGGTTGTGCGTCAGTAATAATAATTAATAATCAACCTATTAAGATATTCGTACTTCTTTTCTACAAAACGTTTTGTCGTTCATCATAAAATGTGAGTGCCATTGTATACAATAATATTGCAGTATCACCGCAATATCAGCATCCGGTTAAAATTTTAATTACAAACGAATGTTATTAGAATTGTACGCATCGCATTCGATATAATATGTTTCGATTGTGTTTTGTCCAATGGTTTTCGCTCGTAAATGAATAAATGACAATCTCCACGATGAGTTCAAAATAATTTCGATATTGTCACGGTCATATTTTGTGGTTAATCTGCTAACCATGTGACGTTTATACATTATGCCCAAATGTATATAATGTTTAACGATCGTGTGATTGCGTCGCAAGTTCGAGGTCAGGTATTCCGACGAAAATTAATCACAAAATTACACATTAACAAAAAAAAAAATACGTCACAAACTTATAATTATAATATGTACCTGTTATAATAATATTTTGAACAATATATACTTAGGTAGGTACGTAATACGTATTACGTATACCTACGCGTAACCTTGATAAGTTTATTGATTATAATAATTATAATATAATATATATCATATATAAATATAAAATTATATAATGTTTCTAATTCAAATTGGGGTCGGGCGAGTGTAATATTTTAACAATAATTTTAGGTATGGTATGCGGTTTAGTGGTTATGACTTATGAATATCATTTATTTATTTTTTTGATCTAGTTATGGTTATCATAGGTACTGTACTATACTGTTATAAAACCTGCAGACTTTGATCTAATGTTTATTTTTAGATCGGTCTGTACTCATCGTTCATGGCATGCTTCGTGTACACGATCTTCGGTAGCTGTAAAGACCCGGCGTTGGGTCCGACGGCAATCATGGCCATCATGACCCGTGAAAACATACACGATATGGGACCAGAATTCGCCATCCTATTATGTTTTATCACCGGTATCGTACAACTCATCATGGGTTTTGCGCAATTAGGTAATTTCGTGTTCAGATACCGTATAAACTATACAAGACGTGTACAACAGTATACTTTTTATTATTATAATATTTACGTGGCTTGCAAAAAATTGAACCTGACTTGGTTTAAACGCCTGTCGATCGTGTTTTTTTACCCGATCAAAACATTTTACCAATATTTAATGCAGTCTGTAAACATCAAATTATACCTAATATAACTATAATAATCAACTTTCGTGGGTTGTGTAGGGTTCTTAATCGATTTCATATCCGGACCGGTGTCGGCTGGTTTCACATCGGCAGCAGCGATCGTGATAGCTACATCCCAGCTGAAAGACCTGCTCGGTATCAACATAAAAGCTAGTTCGTTCATAGGCTTCTGGGACCAATTGGCCATGCACATCAGGGAGATCAGTGTTGGCGATGGGACGCTCGGAATTACGTGTATGGTTGTGCTGCTGCTGTTGAGGGTGAGCCCGGAAAATACGATATTACCATGATAGGTCTTATATAAACATGGATACGACATTAACATTTGAGGATCATGTAGTTTTGCGGTACTGAACTGATAAGAATTTGAGGCCATTTGCTTAAATTTTTTTTTATGATATGATTATAATATATAACTATTGATAATCGATACTCGATATATTTTGAAGGTTTACTTATTTGGCCTCAATTGAAATCACTTTATTACCGTTGATAAGACCGTATTATGTCCTATTCATATTTATAAGATCTATACACGGATATCGCTGACATAATATATCATAAGTCATATAGCTATTTCATTATCGTTCTGCACGGTTTGTCGAATATAATATATATTTTTTTATAATATACATAGAAAATGAAAGACATACAAATCGGCCCTACGGACATGAAGGATAAAACGACCGGACAGCGAACGGTTTCATCAATCATTTGGCTCATATCAACGGCGAGGAACATTATAGTTGTGGTTTTTTGCGCCGCACTGGGTTACATGTACAAGGAACATGGCAATTTGCCGTTTAAACTATCGAGTAATTCAACAGTCATTTTTTATATATATTTCGCACAGGCACATAGCGATTCGACGAGTTGATCAATTTTATTCTTTTTCCAGGTCACGTGGAATCCGGTCTTCCGAGTTTCAGGCCACCGCCGTTTGAGAGCCGAGTCGGGAACGAGACGTATAATTTCGTAGAGATGGCGTCCAAATTAGGTTCAGGGATTTTGGTAGTGCCACTTCTGTCTATTTTAGAAAACATATCACTAGCTAAATTTTTCTGTGAGTTGATTTTTACGTTTAAAGACGCGCGTAGGTAGGTGCGTTTATTTTTTCGTAAGTCTTATCACTGCAGACTTAACAATGTCATCTTATAACATATGAGCGTTTTTAATACGACAATATAGTGTATATTATTGACTATCGCCTGGGGTCAAGTGAAATTATATATTAGCTAAATTTATGAAAACATGTTCTATTGTTTTATTTAGCTGATGGTAAGACCGTCGACGCCACTCAAGAAATGCTTGCCTTGGGCGCTTGCAATTTGATTTCGTCTTTTGTTGGGTCCATGCCCATATCTGGCGCTCTATCGCGAGGTGCCGTGAACAACGCCAGTGGAGTAAAAACCACGTTTGGAGGAGTTTACACAGGTAAAACATCTCTTTCGATTGCGATTTCGTTGACTGTACGATTGGATTTGTATTTGTGTATTACCCTGAATTATATAGAGTAAATACCAACAACCCTTTACTAAAAACCTATTTTAATATAATATTACAAATAATAATTTGTGTTTAAATATTTTCAATTTACGTCGGAAAATTAATATAATATGCGTTATCTAGTAACCTTTTTTTTAAATATTTATGTTAAAATCTCCTGAATTATCTACATTGAATACCATGATATAATCTAAAAATAAATGTTTGATTATATGGGAAATATAATTATGTAATACTTAACTTTTTAATGATAAACATCTAAATTTTCAAAGAATCCTTTCAATGTTACTTTACTATAGCACCCTAATATACTTTGAAGGCGATTTGCGCTTATAATATTACATTTCATAAGTACCGTTACCTATATAAACAATATAACGGAAATAACTGATTTCGTTTTCCAGGAATAATCGTCATAATAGCTTTACAATTTTTCACCCCGTATCTGGTGTACATACCCAAAGCTGCTTTGGCCGCTGTGATAATAGCCGCCGTCGTGTTCATGGTCGAACTGCAAGTTGTCAAACCGATGTGGCGAACGAAAAGTATGTGTGGTCTTTGTCGACATTATAATATTATAATATACTGTCAACAACATAGTGTTGTTCTGTTGAACTTGTTTTGTTTGTTAACACGCGCATGCGCACCAGAATATTTATACGAACGACGAGTAAATGTTTAACAATTTCAGAAATCGATTTGATACCGGCGTTCGCCACGTTCCTTTGCTCGCTGTTAATCCGCTTGGAAGTCGGGATCGTTGTTGGCATAGCTATTAATGTCATAATACTGCTTTACACCTTGGCTAGGCCCAGCGTCCATGTCGAAAAACAACAAGTCAGTAAACACGACAAATTCAATAACGTCATTATAATATATTATTTACGATTAACTCGTTTATGTTTATAATGCACATTAACATTATAATATAATACTGAGTGATTCGCAAGTTTTGGAACTGTTAAATTACAAGAGAGCTATTTTTTCAAGTGCTTAGATTATATATACAATTTAAAGAAAAGTGTCCTGTTTTAATTTAAAGAAAAATAGGTAGGTACGAATTTAATTTTTTTCAAAAGATAATCAAACTTTTTTTTTGATGTGAAAACATCTTATGAGGTGTTCAGACTTTTCCGCTTGTTTAAATTTTCTGATGTATCTAATTCGAAATTTGTACTAGTAGTTTTGAGTTATTTAATTTTGTGTACTATCTACTAAGGATGATGGGTTCATGATAATGGGCTTGGAAGATGTGGAAGCTACAGACAATGTGAACGTTTTAGTAATATTATCATATTAATCCGTCAAAATTTTATAATTTTTAAAAATTATCTGATCTTAAAATCGTTGTGTGAACAACTTTTTAAAATTCTAATTTAGGAAATGTATTTGTTAGTACATCCCTACATGGTGGTACGAAGGTGCTTACTATAATAATTTCAAGTCTTTAAGTATCATAGTTTAGGCTCTTCGTTCATCAGTCAGTCAGTCAGGACACATTCAATTAGTAACTAGTATATATATATAGATACTAGATCCAATATTAATTTTATATTTTGGTAAAACCATTGTGAAATATCCTTTGGACTACTCTTAGTATATACTTAGAAACTACTTGTTTGGGTTTTAATTTGGATACACCGAGGTTTTTTTAATTTAATAATTTCCAGTAAAAAAGGTTATAGTTGTCACTTTCCACATAATGGTTCACATTTGAAAATCAGAAGCCTATATCACCTAAGCAGGTATACTCCTTAAAAAATAGTATAAAATATACTATTAGGTATATCATGTTAAAATTCTGAAAATCAAAATTTGAATAAATTCATTATTAAAGAAAATAATGGAGGTAAATCGCCTTGTATATAATTCCCCAAATGTTTTGAAACCTGCAGAGTGAATTTGGGTACGAGTATTTAGTAATAACGCCGGACCGTAGTTTGGTTTTCCCGTCCGTCGAGTACGTGAGGGCAGTGGTGTCCAAAGCCGGACTTAAACAAGGACTAAGTTCGATTCCGGTTGTGATGGACTGCAGGCACATACAAGGAGCTGATTTTACTGCGGCCAAAGTACGTGCGCGCATAATATTTTATAAGCGTCATCTATAGCGTCATCTGTCATCGATAATAGTCTTTTTTTTTTTTTTTACACAGGGCGTCAAATCTTTAATAGATGACTTTGTCAGGAGAAGTCAACCATTGGTGTTTTACAATGTCAAACCTAGTGTGATATCCATTTTCCAAGGTGTACGACCGACTGAGTTCAACTGTTGTGTCACCGAACAGCAATTGCACGAAAGGCTAAAAGGTATTAACTATTAATTATTGATATACAGGTACATTATTTTTTTTTATAAATTTAAGCTCAATTAAACTGTAAACCTATAATACGTTATTATTTTTTATTTGAAATGAGACGTGTTATTTAGACTTAATAGGAGGTCTTATCCGCGTAGGGTCTTATGAGTTATAGAATATAGCAAATTTGTGTTTAGCAGAACCAATTTTATGTTGTTATTTTTAATATTCTTTAATATTCTAGTTAATTTATCTATTATTAAACTTAAAGACAAGAAAATTATCTGTGTTTTTACGTAAACGGATGAGAGTTCCTCATAAACAATTTTCGATACATTTCGATGCTTAAATCTTTGCAATACAACTAAAACTGTATCGATATTCTATACTCATAAGTCATAATACATCATATCGTGTATTCCTCAAATGTAATAATTAATGTATACGATTACAACACTCGAGTAAGTCATTGATCCGGGTAGGACACAGGTCGACGTACTTTGTCGTGGGTATTACATTTGAGGTGTGTCGCATTGTTCCGTTTAGCGAGACGCCGAAAAAAAAATATTGAGTAGAGATCGTTTTTCACGTTGTATTGCAGAGTGTACATAACCATATTAAGTTTGTAATACATTTTGTTGAGCCATACTTAAACTGTATCATTGCATGTTAGCCTTTTAAATTTATCAAAATGAAATAACGTAAACAAAAACATTTAATAACGAAGAAAAAATTACAAACGTCTAATCACCATCGTATACAAACGATAGATGAAGAGCAATATTTAATAACATTATGGTATTCAACAATAATGCACACAGTGGCTCGGCGATGGCCGAAATCAATCACGCGATGTGATTGAGAGTAAGCAACGACCGCTGCCACTAGTACTCGGATGGGTGACCTCCCAGGTTCAAAAACCTTGCCACACATACACGTGTTCCTAACTAACCGTGCCAACCCTATACTGTACCAACCCTCAGGGGCTCAGGCTACAACAACCGATGGCCTATGTTGCCGTGGGTTAATTAATAATAAAAAAAAAAATAATGCACACAACATGATCATTTTCATTTCCTCAAAAGTGTATTTGATATAAGGTATAAAAACAGTGTAATTGGGTACCTAATTACTTATTAATTATTATATATAATTTCTATTATGTTTAATTATTTATAAAGCGTATAGGCTATGACGCTACGTTAATTTAAACTTAAACAAATCTATAAGCTACCTAATCAATTAAGCAACACACAAAGACATCCAACTACAATGGTAGGTTTACTCCGATACCTAATCATTGTTATATTTAATTATTAAATCTTAGGGGGACGGAGTGACCGAGCGGATTAAGGCGTCGGTTTCGATTCACACCGGCGCTAGTTCGATGCCGGCCGCGGGCGGCATTTTTCTTCGGGCAAGTCACGGTGTCTGGAGAGAAGTGCCGCCATCCCCCACCCAGGCATACCTACGGGTGCCCACTAAAAAATCAGCCAAAACCAAAACACACGTGTTTAAACTAACCCTTTCCCACAGTAAAAACCACCCAATGGCCTAAGATGCCACGAGTTAATAAAAAAAAAAATTATAAAATCACTTTAAATTATAAAACTATAAACTATGTATATTTATACATTTATATAATTATATACATTGTTTGTGTTTGTTTCAGGGTATTATTATAGCAGAATGCAGACGCTGACATTATAACATCGATATTTACACTAAAACTTGTCCCACCGACAAATTGTACAGATTAAACTATGACTATGTAAATAATGTTAATATTAAAAAGAAAACTGTGTATATTGTGAATAGATCCTATACACAAATAAGAAGTGAATTCTAGACAGTCAAGTTTCCGAAATTCTCCTTAACCTTTTGTTTGTTTAATAGTAATCATAATTGTTAATAGGAAATTAATTTAAAATTAATTAAATACATCGGTATTATTATGTAAGTTAATGTATTTTGTTTATTGTAATTTATGTATTAGGTATGTTAGTAATGTTGTTTTTCAAAATCAACTACTTTTTTAATTTTGTAAAACACAAATATAAACTGTGAAGTATTGAAATGTTTATAACTACCCAGTGTCCTAGTGTATACAAAAATTATAGATTGCAACTTGCGTCTTGCAGTCTTACCATGTTTATTTCTACAAAAACCTCGTTGCTTAAAATATTGTTGTTGACGAACTTTGCTTAATTACACATTACTGAAAATTGAAATACGTGAACATTATTTTAGATATAGAGTTCCGAGACTCCGTTTGGTGCAATGGTGCGATTAATATATTGATTTTACGATGATGTGTGAACTTCTTTTTTTTCGAAGCAAATCACCCATTTTTCATGTAAATAATTAAGCAGATGATGTGTTTGGAAATGTTGATGCATCTAATATCTAAATAAAAATTGAAATTTGTAGTTTATTTGTTGTTCTGCAACTAGTATACTAAGGATGATAATCCATAATAATAGTTTTCCTTTTACATAAAATAGATAGGTATATTATAGTATAGTGTTTAGTCTAGTACTTATTATACTCATATTAACTAATTTTACAAAATAATTTAATGCTAATAAGTAATAACTAATATTAATTAGTAATTAATATGTAAAATTAGTTCAACATTCTGGATAATTATTGGAGAAGAAGAAGCAGAGATTGATATAAAATTTTATAATATAAATTATAAGATTTTTATAAAAAAAAAAATGTTTTTATTTTTATATTATTTATGCTCACAATAGTATACTTACTTTAATACTTTTAAACCTCAGTCCTTTCAAAATTACCTATATATTCATAACGCATATAACTTAAAATAATGTGTGATTTATATTAATCATAGAACAAGGTTTATATAAGTATGGTTTATAAGGTTCATAATATAATAACTATTTTACATTATCTTGTTCATATAATATGATAATTTAATCATTTTTAAAACTATTGGTGTATATAGAGGGGTTTAAGGGGTTCAAACCCTCCCCGAAATGTATTGTCAATACAAAATTTTAATACAGCGATTAATTTATAATATTAATTAAATATATTTTTTTGTTATAGTACCCCTCCCCCCTCGAAATTAATTTCCATACACGCCACTATTTAAAACAACATATAAATCAAATTATACTCTACATTTTACATTTTAATACATAATATAGATTAATTTAATTTTTTTTTTGTGAAAATAAATTTGTTTCTTTTAATGATTAGCAATGAACTCATTTTTAGAAATCTGATTTATGCAAATCGTAAAATTTTGAATGTACCCCGAAAAGTAAATTTTTCGTTTAGGGTAAATATTTATATACACGCAACAAGTTCATATAAGTCTTTAGTTATTTAAACTTATTTCGTCCATATTATTTTGAATGTGCAAACAATTAATAATTTCTTCCACGATGCGAATTTGTATACAGTATACTGCTTAAGTTTAAGTTATAACTGACCAGCACTCAACAAGTAGATTTTGGTTACGACATGAACAACATTTTATACTTAATGTTATTTTTAAACACTACATAGGGGCTAAAAAAGTACATTTAAATATATTATATGGTGTAGTTATCATGTCCCTGTTCCAAACAAAGATTTTGACGTCTAATGTTTTGGAATTTCGAACAGGCGAGAACGTTTATCCTTTCGCCTCGTTTGTTCAATATACTTTTATTACTTTTAATAACAATTACTATTTATTGATGATCATTATTGATTAACTGTTGTAGATCACAGTATAAGTTCGAGGGCCTCGGTGTTCAATTGTTAGTGACCGGTAGTTAGTAGTCACATGACAAAGCTAGTGTTTGCCGATCGAACGTGACATATTATACATACAGTGACAGTCGATTTCAATGGCAAATGATTTCATACAGAAGTACCTATATAATATTTGGAAAGGAATAAGGAATCCAATGTATAATTACATTATTACAATGAGTACTACGATGCCAAATGCCAATGGGTCATTTAAATGACTACATAAATGGTTTATATTTACTAAATAATTGGAATACTATTGATACAATTAAAAAATGAGGATTATTATTTTAAAGACATTTTTTTTAAGCAATTAGGTAACACGTAGAATTATGAATACCTGCATGCATGTTATAAGTTGGTAGGTTTAGGTATAAGGTTTGGTTAATGTATTCATTTTTTAAATGTAAAATAAAAATAAGTACCTAGTATTTTAAAATTGACCAAATAGGATGAGGTAGTAGTAATTAGTAAAGTTTGAATAGTGATCGGGATTTATATTTTAAGATTGAATTAATGATAAATACACATTTCTACAATTCATTATTGAATATATTTATTTAACTCGAAAAAAGAAAGATACAAAAATTTAATTTTTCAAATACAAGATACAGTATTTCTGTATAGGAATACAGGTGTAGAACAATATTTCTGTTAAACTCTACACTATACACAATTTTAATCTGCAAATTCTGAAAACATTAATATCAAAATTGAACTCTCAAACTAAGTAGTAATTTGTTTGGAATATTTATGGCTGATTTTATGGATACATAATGCACGTACTATATGAATATCGTTTAATATATATTTTTATGTATGTAGGTAGGTATTCAGTAATAGTTTAGTGGAAATATTGTATGAGTACAATTTTTATTTGTTTAAATCCATTGTTTATCAATCAAGAAAAAAGTGATTTAAATAAGAAATTCAAAACTGGTAGTGTATTAATAAAGCAGTAAGGCAGTTAATACGTTTTTAAATTGAGTGAGATTAATGATCATTTACCTATTACACGAGTTAAAAAAAAAAATAAAATCTAATTATCCTTAAATTTAGAAGTATACGCACATAATATACGTGTATTGTAATTTATATAAATTAATTTTTATCGTTATGTTTTGTTAAATCATTAAAACCATTCTATACTAATTTCACTATAAATAAGTAATTTAAAACTAATAGGTTGTAACACAACTACACAAGTATGATGTAAGTAATAAATAGTTCAATTATCATATAAACACACATAATAATTATAATAGGTAGAATAGTATAAAATGCCCAGTATGACTAATTGACGATCCCATTTTCCAAATATGTACGGAATAGTAGGTACTGTAAAGGAAATAAAATAGTTTGACATAATCGTCATGGTTAATTATGAGAAACGAAATGGAATCGTACTGCTCAGGAATAGGTAGTGTGGGCGTTGTTTTGAAAGTTTTATTTTATAGTTCAATGGAATTTATAGATATCATACGCTTTGCTATCTTGGTTTTCCAAAGGAAGCAACTGTTGCATGCACTCATCAGGAAGGTACATGAATTTTTGAACTTCTTCACGATCCGAAGGACAGCAATGTGGTACCCTGTTCTCGTTCGTCATCGAGACACGTAGTGCCAGCATTTTCTAAAATTAAAATTAAAATAATTTATAATAATCTATTAATATGGTTGTTATTAATTTTGAAATTAATATATAGATGCCGGGACATGCCAACTAAACAATAATATATTATGTTGCAATATTAATGTATATAATATGATACTTGATAATATTTACAATAATTACATTTTGAGAGGAGTGACCGATGAATCAGAATTAATACTTTACGTTTTATTTTAAGGCTAACGTGCTATAACGTGAGAAAGAAATTTGTTTAGTCCACTCTCAATTATTGTAGAATGCACATTTACAAGTGTTGAAGACCACGAGAATCCGTGAGATATTATTACCTACTTGTCAAATTGTTAAGTCTAAACGAATGGATTCTCATACCTTTCTGTTTCCTCGTGACGCTATTGTATGGTCGACAATGCAATTAGGATAGTCCTTGCCAATAATGCATCCCACCTGTTTTTGAACTGATTCGGGACATTTCCATGGTTCGTACAGAAATTGGGCGGGCATGTTTTTTAATTCAGGAACATATCGTCTGTGAACATTAGATTAATATACATGTTTATTTTGAAAATGTCCTAAATGTCCTTATTTAATGACCATACTTAATGTATTCGCCAGATGGGTCAAGCCTTAAACCGTAACTGACAGGGCAAACGCACAAAGGGCAGTCCAACAGCTGTTCAAACGTAGAGCTTGACACCCAAATCCAGTTACCGGAGCACACGGAAAAATCAGCATCTAGCAAATACTTCATAAAATGATTCAACCCTTCGACCCAGCTTATCCAGAGATCACCTCTCGTCAAGAAAGATGCCAATGAATTTCGTACCACATGATGAATCCATCCTTCCTAGATAAACAACGAGGATGTTGTGAGACGAAGAGTGATATTTGTATACAATTAGGTACATCAAAGAACCAGAAACTGTTAAATTTGGGCACCTGCATCAACTGTCTCATCCCGGCGTCTATGAAGGGATATCCAGTTTTGCCAGTTTTCCAACATTCCAACATCTTCTTATTTTCCGGAATTTTAATATCATTCCAAGGTATTGAAATGCACGCTGGATTATCCTCTATCTGGCCAAAGTTCTTGTTGTCAATAGACATGGTGTAAAAGTAATCTCTCCAAATAAGTTGGCTGGTCACGCTGTACATAGGTAATAAATCTCCTTCGAATTTGTTGATAAACAGTTTTGTAAGTTCCCAGTAAAACCTAATAATAAGTTATTGAGTATAATTAATATATATTATATTTTTATCTTTCCAAAATGATATTAAATATTACTTTCTTATGGATAAGCATCCATATCGTAAAGCCGCGCTAAGGCTGGACGGTGGGCTCAAAAGGTCAGGATTTACTTGGTTAGGCAAGTAAAATCCATTAACGAATGCTTCTTTTTCATATTCCAGTCGTTCTTTTAACTGTTCTAAAGCTCTGGTCTCACCGCCATACCAACGGTATGTAGATGTTAGATTTTCTGGAACTTCTGGATAAATTCCAAAGGTTTCCGGGGTAGGATTGAGTAAGTTCTAAAAATTATTTTATGCCCATAAGTAAGGCAAATCGGTGATAAAAAAAAAATAACAACAAAATACAATATTTAAATAGGTACTATTATGAAGTAACTATCTATTTTTTTTAAATAAAAATACCTTAAATTCGTCTTGAATAGAAGCTGGAAGTTTCTCAAAAATTACACTCAACCAGTCTACATTACCTACTGGTGTTGGAGGAACACCAATTTGGTTCGCTGTATTCTAAAATGTTCAATGTGCATTTTTATTAATTGTAAAAGATATTATTACAAAGAACTCACTTGGAATTGTTTAAAAGTAAATGGAGGTACTCCACCGTTTTTTTCAATTATTGATTTTGGATTCCACAGTGTATGGGAAACTGTCTCAATGCATTTTATACCATTTTCATCGCAAAATGCCTTTACCTTTTCATCACGAGTTCTACCAGTATGGGCACAATCCTAAAATTATAAATGTCCAAGTTTAAATCTATGTCCAAAAAATAAAATATATATATTAAAAAAATACCTGTTCGTAAGTAATAAAATTCAGGCCTATCTTTTCTTTTATCATTTTAAATATATTAACAGGGTTTCCTTGAAGTATATACAAACGTCCTCCAAGCAAAGCTAAATTATTATTCAGATCTATTAAACTTTCCAGAAGAAATCGCATCGGATTGTATCCAAACCATTTCGGATCTAAATAAATACAACAAACTATTTAAAATATGCCAAGTTGAAATTAATTAGTTTATTATATCAACAGATTTCAATGCAGACACAATATTTTATCCATATACATCTGCATTATATTTTACACATAACATAGACTTTAATTGTAAAATATATCAATTTTTATGTGCAATTTTCTACAGTAAGATAATAAATAATAATTTTCCATTTAAAAATAACCGAATTACTTGAGTATTTTCACTTATTAAGTTGTGTTATTAAAAATAGTAAAGACTTATATATTGATATTTTGTTTGCATTATATATTTAGGTACATAACTGCTAATATTACAATACGAAACTCAATTAACTATACAAAATAACTGTAAAAGAAACTCAATCACAAGATGTCTTTATACATGTCAAATTTAAATATTCAAACAATTATCTAACGAAAACCAATAGGTATTTCATTAATTAACTAAACAATAAATTCTGAGGTAAAAAAAAATATAGTACCCTTATTGTTTCAATTAGGTATTTAGGTATGTCTTTTTCCAAGACTGAAATTGTAATGTTTATGATTACTTTCACTGTGCATTTAATTACATTTTATAATAATATGTTTAATGATATAATTATTAATCTATTATTAATTGTCCGTATGTGCATTGTAGACAGTTTCAAACATTTATTCATTATTCGAGGGTTAAGAATTAACTACGATGTCTACCAGTAGTCACAAATATATAGTATGGTAAATAATACATTTGTGACTAATTTAATAATTGAATGGACCATAATATTATTGTGATCACTAACGCCACTGTACATAGGTACCATTTACTGATTAATTTTACGATCGGCGACACTCCAATTGTAGTAGATAATAAATATAAATTTATAATATTCATAGATTTGGTATGAACACACATACTTATCATACGTGATGTGACGTATTCTATATTTACATGTGTAATTAATAATTATACTTACTGAACGTAGTTTCGTCGAAAATGAACAGTGTAATAAGCTTTTCAGCATTGTTGTGAGCTTCAATCAAGGCTGGGTTGTCGTGCAACCTTAGGCCGTTTCTAAACCAGTGGACGGCGACAGTCATAATTACCGTTTTACGACCTGTAAAAAAAATATCATAATATCATGTAATTACCTATATAGTAAATAAATTATATTTATAACCGTTTCAACATTAAGACTTAGGTTTTGGTTTCGGGCGATGGCGATACATATTATAATTTATGTCATCTACATATTATAAGGGGCCTTCAACACGTGGCTCGCAAATGAGGCGCTCGAACAAATTGTAAGTATAACATGTATTTGTTCAATCGTTGAAAGTTTTTATTTTAACAAGGTCAGCCTTAAGTTTGTATGTGTGTACAAGTGTACACCATTAGAACGACCGTATAACACTAAAACGTTATCGCTGTATGTATTTATATTCAGAGTTTTAAATCAAATTTAGAAAATTTATAGGTTATATTGATTTAAAAATGAATTCCTTTTTTGATAGAACTTAGAATTATGGAGAATAAATGTAGGTATTAACAAATTAAGATAGTTAAATCAAAAAATAGAACTTGGTTATTTGACGCTCATCATCTAGTAAGCTCACTGAGAATTGCTTCGTCTCAAATAGTGGAGAAAAAACAGTTTCAAACATACAATTAAAAAATAAATAAAATATTTTCTTAAAAAAATTCAATTAAGTTAATGGTTTGTAATTTAAAATGTAAAACTACAATACGTTTAAGATTATATAAAAATCAACACGAAAATCTGAACCATTTTCTTAAAATATATATGTTTTTATTTTTAAGTGTGCGGGCGCGAGATTTAAAATAAAACTAAGTTACCCTAAACGACTCCAGGACGTTTATCGAACGATGATTTTTGGTTGAAATTTTTTTTTTATCATCGATATAACGGGAAGAGAATAGTAGAATTGAAATTAAGAGGTCACTGCACTTACTCCCATAGTTAAGATATAAATACTTGAAAAATATTGATTTTAATTTAAAAAATATATATAGGTAAGCACCTACTTGTGTTCCTGTGTTAGTATAAATAACGCAAATAAGTATAAGTTTTGTTGTGTAACAGTCATAATGTAGAGTACGAGGGAGCATGCTCTTCTTATATAAATATACGTTTTACACAAAATATTTACACTGTAGTCGATTGTTTCAACTTCTGGGAATTACCTACTCCGATGTAACACACTGACATACATTTATTTACATGAATATTATTAAGGTTTGTGTTTTACTGTTTTGTTATTTTTAAAATATTAACCAAATACCCAAATTTTATTACTCAGTTTTAGATTTTGTGCAATAGGTACAATGTACCTGGTACATAATATACTTTTCTAAAATGATAAATAAAAAATTTAATTTTATAAATTGTATTTAATATTATTACAATATAGTTCGTGACATGAAAACTGTCCCTTGACTGCCACAACCTATAGGCTGTTTCGTCTCAGTGGTTTACAATGCGATTAAATGTATTTATTGTTTATTATTAATTAATTAATTAATTTACTGAAAATACTTAAAAATATTTTATAAACTAATATGTTCATTCAAACCAAACATTATATAACGGGAAAAACTTTAAAAAAAAATGTGTGCTCACAGTATGCCGCGATAAACAGAATAGGTTTGAGCTCATTGCTAACGCGTTGATAAGCACTAAGCAGTACGGGTCGCGGTACTCATGGGACAGTTTTTTATGTCGCGGACTATAGGACAGGTTAGATGTACTACCACTATTACCTGACTTGTTTAAAAATATTCTTTTTATCTTTTTTTGTTTCGCTTCACCCTTCAATTGAAACATATAATAAAAACACAATTATTACAATGATACATTTTATGATTTTCCATTTCTTAACTTCGGACATAATATTTGTGATGTTAACACAAAAAACTAGAAACAGATTCAACGAATGCTTAAAATCTGGCGTAAATACGCAATATCACCATATGGTTGGTATTCGTCTTTATGTGTGTACATAAAAATTATGTTCCGAATTAAGAAAGCAAATCATTATATTTATTGAAAATCATATAATATAATATATGTAATCATTATAATTGGGTTTATTTAAGTAATTATTTGATTTAAATTTTTTTTACATATCTATGTATAAACATTTTTATATAACTTATTTTTACTAATTATAAAAGTAATATAATCTGTAACCAATAGCAACTCATAAGTATATGAAAAAAACTAAAGATTTTCATGAGCAAAAAAAAACTGTCATGTGTGAGCAACTCTAGTATTACTTATATGAGGTGAAAAACAAAGCTAAAATCTCTCTCCATAAGTCTCCAGGAAAATACCTGGCAGGAATCTAATGATTTAACTTTTATTGAAAACGGTCTTGTAATTTTTGTCTTTCGAGTATATACTATAGATGACGAACAAACAAACATTAATTTTTAAATATTAGAGGTGCATTATTGTATGGGTACTACTCTTATAATAGTACCTATCACAGTATATTATACTAGCGAAAAAAAAACTACATAAGGAAATCTATCGTTAACCAACGATCGACTATATTATAATGGAGAGTACAACGACCACAATGTTCGGAGACGAGTTAAGATTTTATTTTTAAATTTTTTAGTTTAACTTAATATTGAACGAATGTAAAAAAAAATATACTAATAATAAATAAAAATAATAATAATATATAATATTAATCACTTAAGTGACGATCCTTGTACCCAATACAATATGCTATCTTGTTTACATAGTTAGATTACCTATAAATATAATATAGATTATTCTTTTTAGTTTTATCGTTACGTATTGTTTAGCTTTTTGTTTGACGTATACACCATCAATTTTGTTATGTATCTGCTTATCTACTGTTTATGCATTACATCATTAGTAAGTACTACCTGAAGTGTTCTGTAAATACATTATACATTTATACCTATAGTGTTGGTCACACAGTCGAATAGACTATACTAGAACACAGTTTGTTGTTGACTTTTTGTAATTAGCACAGGAGCACACAGTTATGTGAGAATAATTTAATATAATTATAATTTAAATTACTATGGGTTATGAATATTAATTTATTATTATTTATTTATTTTATCCAAATTAATCTTCCGGAAAATCTACCAGATATTACTCTACCTATACATCTATACAGTGTGTTTCCTTTTAAAGGTAACACTAAATAATTCTGTCCAGTGACATCGGATTAATATGTGGTTTTCAGGAGGGGATAGGCCCGATAGGGAATACATAAATACACATTTCTTAATGACTTTTACATTTTTAGATCTTTCCGTGTGCGCATGCGCAATACAACTTGCATTTTTTTAAATGGCAACAGGTGTTTTGAATACCAAATTCGGATAGACCGAATTTTTTTAAGTCGATTTGGTCCTTTTTACCAAAGCTCTAAAATCAAAATTGACTAAATGGCAACCAGTCAAAGTTTCAATTAAAATTATTGGAATTTTTCACCAATCATACTAGAATTTTATGAATTATTATGAAATTGTATTTATTATTTTTGTATCCGCAGGTTACATTACATAGGTAATCATTTAAATTTAATTTTGAGGAATTAATTAACCTCATAACGTAAATCTATCCAAATAAATAATAGAAATGATTGAAATTGTAAAAAAATTGTGTTAATTAGTTTAATCTTTTCTTACTTAGTAATTGAACTAACATTTCTTTTATTTATTTGGATAGATTTACGTTGTGAGGTTAATTAATTCCTCAAAATTAAATTGAAATTATTTAATAATATCTGCAAACCTACGGATACAAAAATAATAAATAAAATTTCATAATAATTCATAAAATTCTAGTATGATTAGTGAAAAATTCCAATAATTTTAATTGAAACTTTGACTGGTTGCCATTTAGTCAATTTTGATTTTAGAGCTATGGTAAAAAGGACCAAATCGACTTAAAAAAATTCGGTCTATCCGAATTTGGTATTCAAAACACCTGTTGACATTTAAAAAAATGCAAGTTGTATTGCGCATGCGCACACGGAAAGATCTAAAAATGTAAAAATCATTAAGAAATGTGTATTTATGTATTCCCTATACCCTCCTGAAAACCGCATATTAATCCGATGTCACTGGACAGAATTATTTAGTGTTACCTTTAAAAGGAAACACACTGTATACTAATTAATAGGTATACTTAAGATATTAAATTTTTCAATTGATATATTGTATTACTAAAATTCACAGCCCATTTGAGTAATTTCTAGAAAGAAAAAAATAAACACCAATTCCCACATCTACAAGTATACGTTTTATTATTTTGTTTTAACACTACCTAGGTATTATGTGCGGCGCATTATCATCTATTGAATCCATCTAATATTACACTCAACATATTTAAAATTTCCTTATTTTGAATGGAACAAGGCCTTTTAATTATTTTAGTAAAAACTACTATTTTATTTTTTACTCTGTGTCATGGAGTAGAGTTGCGACACTAGGTATATAGGAGGGAGTTGCCTACACAGTAATGATTGACTTTAGGAGAAGACAAAGTTTTTAAAGATTTACCGCAATGGATAGTTTGTCTGAAATGTATAACAATTAACATCGATACATTCCAATATTCCATACATATTTAGATATAATTTTTTTTTATTTAAAAATATGCCTCAACTACCGGGGTTATTGGCGTTTCAGAAATACATATTACATTTATTTAAATACTATACCTACCTACGTGTATGCACATCATCTGTTTATCTGCACCAAATTATCATACATCATATAATCAACATGCTGAACAATAGAAGGGTATAAAAAATAATTTATGATTGAATACAATTGATTGCCATAAATCATATGTAATAAATAGATACAAACAATTAAAATAAATTGCATTGATTTAGTTGTATTGTAATCATAATTATATTAATGTACTTACATATAATATTATATAGATAGTGAATAATTTAAGATTTGTAATTTTAAAAAGAAAGGAGGGAAAGTGGATGTCACTCTGTTGCACAGTAGGTTACAAGTGGGTAACTGTAATGGATGGTGTTGAATTTGAATTCAATGATATAATATCATATTG